CCTTGGCGGAGACCAGTGCGAACGTTGAATGGTTTCGACTTAACGCCATTAACTCTGACGCAGCACCTGCCATCAGAATACAGTGATTGATCCAGGTAGTCATGAACCTCATATGTTCGCAAGTAGGCCTATAGATTGCTGGGCGCGATTTGGTCTGAAGCTTTTTCTATGTCCACACAGCACGTATAGTCCTGATGAACGAACTCCCACGATTTCTCAACAATTTGACGTTGTGCGAATGTCTGATCAGATGTACTTCGGTCGGGCCGGAAACAACACTGCTGTTCTTGTATCTTGGAGTCAGTTATTCTGCGCCGTCTTTCTGCAAACTTGCTTAGATTTTACCCGGCAGGTTCTGCTTTATACTACCATGCATTACAACTAACATCATCGCTAAATTCCCTTGATTATTGAGCAGATAAAATCTTCATGTTATGGAACTTATTTTGATTAATAAGCTATACGCTATTTTGAGCAATGACGTGAAGTGTGGGAGTTGCGGTTAAAACGTCAACAGTACTTTTGCAACAGTGTAATAGAAAAAAGGTGTGCGCCTCTGTTTGGTCAGATAAATCGATGTTCATTGTAAAGCGCTGAACTGTAGATCTTGAGTATGATGTGACAAAAACAACAAAAATAGGATGTAGCGCTCAGAAAAGTACTAGACAAATTGGTTTAATTTTCGTAACTGCCAATGCATATTGGCGTCATGTGTTCGACCCGTAATCTCGATAATCATAGTAGTTTATACTATGGAGAATTATTGGGCTATGAGTGTAACACCTTTCAAAATAGCTGATTCGATTGAGTAACAACAGAGAAAAAAAACTCAAAGTTTTGCGAAGTTTAACACTGCACGTCATCTGCTGTAGTAAAGAATATAGCGTGGGAGTTGCTGCTGATTTTGATTCTCAAGTATTCTGCATTCACGCAAAATCAGAAGGCTTCCTACGTCAGGCAGAGAAGATATGTTAAACCGCGACAGGGTGTAGCTCATGTCGAAACTTGTTTGCTCTCAAAGGATTTCCTTGTTTTCTATTAATGGCTTATTGACTTTCATGAAATAATTTTTGGCTGAACTTGTTATTCTGAAGAACGTGGCCAGTACGACAGAAAAATCAAAAAATCAAACGAAAACTAAGATCAGCTGCAGCATTTTAATGAGGCAAACAGCTTTAACGGTTCATCTCTCCATAAAATTCATTCAAGTTTTACTTTTCTTAGATCCTAAGCCTGAATTCTGTTCCTATAGCTGATTACGTTACGCAGCACTGAAAACTGTACGTTTGGAATAACAAGAAAAGATGGGAAGATGAATGAAGGGGTAAGAGCACAAACAAGAGTGCGAAGTCATTGCTTGGGTAAAGCAGCTAACGTGGCAATGGACAAGACACACCGTAAGAACCGACCATCGCTAGACCCTGGTGACATTAGGTGAGGTTTCGAGGGAGAATAAGCTGCGAGTAGGAAGACTCCCAAATCGATGGCAGGATGAGTTGAAGAAATGCGCGAGATCAAGACAGGTAAAAATTGCTGAAAAGAGAAGTTCATAGCAAAATCTTGGATAGACCTTCATCCAGCACTGGATCAAAAACGATTGATGATAATGATCATGACGAGGACGATAAGTTGTACTTTTGTACACCATTTAAATAAAAAACACTGCACAAGAGAGTAAGAATTTGGAAGATAGACAAAATATTTGTGTTACTTTCGATGCATAAGCTTTTCCATTGTAGACTTATAATCAATGAACAGGAAAGGAATCGTTTTGTGAATCCCTATTGGCATCGACCAGCAAATTTTGGCATGTTAAACTGAGCGGCCTAATTTTTGCTTTAGAATGGTTGTAAGATCGTTACAAGTTTGAAGCGATGGACAGCGCTGAGAAACACGAAGAAAAACGACCTGGAGGCTGTTCATTGTCCGCCGAACTTCCAAGGTCAGAAACGTTTCCGAAGAAAGGCATTCTCAAACATTCCTTCAGTGATCAGCAACTGCGCAAACACGATGCGGTGGCGAATGCGGCGCCAGAAATTGTTATCGAAAAACCGTGCAGCAGTTTGGCAGTGCCTGAACAGTATTCCAGCTATGTGGTCAAGTCCAAGATCCCGAAACTGTGCGTTACATGGGTCGAAAATGGTACCCCGACCATCGGCGTGGAATCTCAAGATGGAACCAAACTAGGCAATCTGCAACCGATGATCTCTGGTACGTAATGCGCGTTGCATAAAAATTTTTTCAAATTTTTTTGCCAGCTTGTTACACAGAGGACTTCTAGGCGTGAGCGATTTCCACACTGTGCATAACCTTCTATTTTTGTCATTTTTCAGTTCACATGTCTTCTTTGGTCTCCTTGAATAACAGTTCCTTATGCTCCCATGCAATTGGCTTTCTTTTGTGAGGTGAAAGTTTAATGCTACTTGTGCAATCCCATGATACTCCAGGAATTGACTCAAAACAGTAAGAATTCAGCTAGAATATTCTCCATGCGTACGCACAGTTGGTGGAGTTCCATATACCATGTACGGCGCACGGTACACTATCCAAATCCAGCCGCATACCACTGGCCTCAGGTTTCTCCTCGCTCAGAAGTGCAGTCGCTAAACTCTTACCGTTGTTAGTCCTTGAATTTTGAAGTACACCATCCGTTCACCGTACGTGACACAGCACGAATTAATCATTTACTAGTGTTCGCACTCCTAACGACTCCCGGACCGCTTTCGACTCGATCTTGACCAAAATAAAAACACTGCAGTTTTTCCTGCGGACTGATCACGTTATATAATCTTCACGCATGGTTGTCCGTTCGTGCTGTATTATAACTTATTTAACTGTTTTGCTTCGCAGTAGGGTACATAGCGTAGAAAAAAAGAGATCGAATCAGACCAGTGAGCGTTTCTCAGAAAGACTGCTGTTCAGAAACTACCAAAGAATAAAATAGTCTCCAACTCCTATACATTATGGCGAGCCCTTCATGTACTCTTTTGCATAGGCTCTGCAGTACCCTCAGGCATAAGTTTTCAAGAATATCTTCATTCGTTAACTGTCAGGCAGTACAGCTGAGACGCTCATAAAACTTTTCATGCT